TAAAACTGTGAGCACCTGTGCCTACTTTTTCCTTCAAATCTGTTTGCTTTTGTAAGTTGTTGTAATGTGCACACAATCTTCAAAGACTGCTAGTTTCAGAGTTAGTTTAAGCTTTAAGTTTATTTGATACACTTTGATCAAGTGTTTTAAATGATGAATATCTGGCATTAAGTATTTTCATGCCTCAGTGTTCACAATATCAGCACGTCCCCAACAACTGGGGATTACAAATAAGATCATATTTACAAATTTAAATAATGATGAAATATACTACTCTTGATCAAGCCAATTTTTATCTTACTAAATTTAAAGCCATAAAGAAAAATTTTAAAGTAGATTTCTTAATATAACTACTATGAAAATGCAGCCTGATTTAGTTATTGTGTTAATTTACTAAAATTTAAACATGCTGTAGAATATCTCTCGTCCAATGTCCTCTTTCTAGTAAATATTTAACACATTAACAGGTTTTAGTGATGTGATCTTTTTTATGATGCTCTTTGTAGGATTCACATGCGTCACATGCCTCTGGGAACCAAAGGCACCAGAGGTATTAACCTCCTTCCTCAGTAAACAAATTACCATAAGTGCAGCTTCTCTGTTGCTTTAAATCAAATCTAGTGAGACGGTGACCTGAAAACAACCTTTACCCTCTATACCCTCCAGTGAATTCTCTCCATCCTGTTTTTTTAAAGTCAGTTTGTCCACTCTGCAGTTGGTTTTTAAAACAATGTTTCAATATTTACCTGATTTCACAGAAATCTGTTGTGCTGTCCAGTTTACTAGACTGATGTTAGATTAATTTCCTAAATGTCCCTTGTTCTTGTTGTACAATATCATCCATCATCTTTACCTGCTTCTTCCTTTCAGGGTTACAGGGGGTCACTGGTCACAAGTCCATCATAGGGCCACCAAGCATTCTCTCCACTCACACTTAGGGATTTAGAGTTACCAATTAGTCTAACCCAGAAAGGTTTCTGCCTGGGATTAGATCCTGCAACCTTCTCAATGAGAGCCGAAAGCTGCACTGAATGCGCCACAAATATCATCATCATATGGTAGCAATTTCCTGAGAAATGATGTTTTATTCTCAGCAGTGTGAGCTCTCCTCAGTACTGTATGGAGCACTGAGAGAAAACTCTTTGTGAAGACTGATTTGTACTCAATAAGCCCTGCAGAGGAGCCCAGATGTACCATTTCCTTTCTCTCAGTGAGAGTTCAAACACAAAGTTCTGCTATCATTTGCATGAATAAACACCCATCTTTCAGTTTTGAACCATATTTTCCATCTCAAAACCATCTTACTGTGGATTCAAAGTCTGCAACTCATTGGGCCGCATGCAAGAACATGTTCGTATTCTTATCCTAAATTTCTCCTACTTTTGTTCGTACAAAGGGTTCATACGAACATGTCATGTAAGATTCAACAAACTCTTCTACCTTCAGGAAAAGTGTGTAAATGAGGAGTGTAAAGGATGAATGCATATCCAGCTGCTCGTGCACAGGAGAGGTGATTTACATAATTACCACCCCAAAAACACCATATAAGGATATACGTTTCCTGCCACACATACCAGGAAGTGTCCATTCATTAAGTGACATCGCAAAGTAAAAAAGAACTTTACAAGTTTGGAGATTGAAGTTCTGCTCTCGGAGATCCACAAAAAAAAAAAAAAAGTCATTTTTAGCAGCGTCAGCTGTGGAATTAAAGGATCTGCTTTAAAGCCGAGGAATGAAATGATGACTGCTGTTAATGTCGTGTCTCCCGTGGGTCGTACAGTCACATAAAAATCTTAGCCATATGTATCTCTCTCTGCAGTCCTGCTCCGGTTTTTCTTTTGTCAAATATTTTTAATTTCAGTGTAAACAACTGTGTTACATAGGTTTCACTTATTCAGAAGAGCAGTCGCACACCACTAATGTCTGTTTTAATACTGGACTAACCTGTCAATTCGGCATTTGCGGCATTGATAATATAACACTATGTGTGGCAATTAGGGATGTAAACAATTTATTGACTTATGATTAAATGTCGAATAATGGTTTATTAGATTAAAATTTTTTCCATTCGATTAATTGAAAACATCCATTTAAACCTTGCTTCAGTGTAGTTTTGCCTTCATCCAGTAGATGGCGCTGCTGCTCTCTCAGCCTGGCCTTACTCTAAACCCCACCCTGTTGAGCTGAGCAGAGAGTCGGCCGCCCCCATAATTAAACATGCAAATCTTGTTTAGTTTTATTTGCGACAACAATAATAATGGACTACACCAATCTCGAAGGAAAAGTACCAAAGGCTGTACCGGACTATCCAGCAGTATGACGCTAAAGACGAGAGCAGGACAACAGCGAGCACGGTAAGCTAACTTTAGCCAACGTTGGCTTCTTTTTGTAGAGTTTAACTCCGTGTGAAATAACAAAACAAAACAAAAAAAGATAGTCACTACATATAAATAATGTGAAGTTAATCTCATCTGTGTGACGTAACCCGGCCAGTGAACAAATCAAATGAACAGTAAGATCATGCAGCAGCATGAACCACAGGAAATGTATACAAACACAGGGGCTCTGCCATGAGGAAGTTCGGCTTAAAGACACGGCTCAGGGGCGTTTCTGTTACCAAAAGGCGTTTCTGGTCCCCACTTGTCATTTTGCTCCTCAGCATGGCTGCCTAAAAAAGCTGCAGGATTTCTCAAACATGCATGAATGGGTCAAAGCAAGGCTTTGGGCATGTTTTTTTTTGTGAGAGTTTGAAATTATAACATGATATAAAACTCAAAAAGTTGATTTTACATGATATTGCCCCTTTAAATTAATTTACCCAGCCAAAATGAAGTTTACTTGTCTGATTCAGATTCTGCAAGACATAAAAAACTGTTTTCATTGACATTACTGTGTAATAAAAATTGTCATTTGGTGTTGGACTATATGGCAATATGTTGTATCACGATATAACTTTCAGTAGATACAATACAATTTTGATATCGATGTGAATAAAAATAGAAAAACTGCCATGAACACCAATATTTACTGTACCTAACTGATGTCATTTGAAAATCTATAATACAATATTGACTTGTCAGAACAAAAAGCGAGATATCTTAAATTTACGATGAGTCCTAATTTATTTTTCCGAAGTAATATATTTCAGATAGTTTATTTCAGATTACTGAATTGAAGCCTAATAGTAAATCTGATCTTATTTGTACTGTATTCAGTTAGAGATATATTAAATTAACTAATATTTCTAGTCATAAACCAATTCCAGACAACTGGAATGTAAGTGTGGTGAAGCAGATTATATGTATAAACGGCCTGCCATAAACATTTGTGTTCGCTGCGTTGGTTTCACTTTGCTCAAAACAGCTGCAAATGGGGAGACGGTGAAGTTTTAGGAAAAGGGTTTAAACTTGTTGGGAACCTCGTTTTCCAACATTCAGAATGTTCTGTCGAGTGGAACTTTATCAGATGGCAGAACAGATTGATGTTTTCCCGCTGCGAGTCGGAAACACTCTGCAACACATTTTACAGCAGACTGAAAGCTGCAGACCTTCACAGACTGTGTTGTACGTAGCATTGTTAGCATTAGGGCTGCCACAAACGATTATTTTAATAATCGATTAATCACCGATTATTTATTCAATTAGTCGACTAATCAGATCATAAGTTAATTGAATATAAAACATAAAGCTTATCACGTCAGAATGCAGCTGCTATTACATAACCATCGTTAGATTTTAGCTATATGCTAACTAAAAATAATTGCTGTGGAAGGTAAGTTCTGCTCTGCAGATATTGCACAGGTTTCTCTTTCATTTTCTTAAAATGATCCCACACTTTGAGCTCTGTTGTCAGGTAGCCATGATACCAGAGCCTGTCTGTATAATGTCTTGTGACGTCCACGGCCTACCCCAGTTACCACTACTGTGCATGTGTGTCAAGGACAGAAAGGCAGATGTGGCAGTGGAAGGTGTCAAAGCAGTTTGGAGAGAAAAACAAAGTAAAGAACAACAAAAAAAAGAAAACGATTAATCGATTATTAAATTAGTCATCGATTATTTTAATAATTGATTAGTCATCGATTAATCGTGGCAGCCCTAGTTAGCATTAGTGTAAACGTAGCCTTTAAGCAGAATAGCGCTTGAAGCTTGCAGAAGCCGGCTGTTGTGCAGTGGGCATCTGACAGGGGGACACGGGTCTTTCACTGTCTATCTGCCACATCTGTTGAACAAATAGATTGAACTCACCCTGCTCAGCTCTGGTCCAATTAAATAGACGCATGTATCACGTACGTGCACTCTTCCCCCACCATCTCCTTGGTCAACAACGGAAATATAAAACTGTCTTCCCCCTCCTCTTCTAACACATTCTTCACTTCCTCCCTTCCTCCTTCAACTGAAAATAAACGTCCTTCTCTGCCAACTGTGCTGCAGCTCTGTTGCTGTTACGAGTTCTGCTCTGCATTTACTCTGAGAGTAAAATGTCCATGCGATAAAGAACATCTCACAACCACGGGAGTGAGTGCATGTACGTATCTGAATATCTGCTGAATAGAAATCACCCTGAAGTGTAGCAGTAGCATGACTGCAGCAGCAGTACAACTACTCATCCTAACAAGGAAAAACGAGGAACATAAGGAACAAAACTGAATGAAATGCCAACCAATGAACAAGGATTTTAACTTCATGGGTTTTCTCAGCTGAACAGCAAAGTTTGTGCACTCTAAGCCACTTGGTAGTTGACCCAATGCAATGACAACTTTGGTTAAAATAATCAGCAAACCTGTAAGAAATTTTCAAAATAGGGTTCCAAAGTGTCTATTGTCACTGGTATTCAAAAATATTGAGCATAAAACGTTACAATTTCATTTTCTATTGTCACAAAACCCAAAATAAATCCTGAGCTGGCTTCATCTCAGCTGAGGAAACCTGTCATTATAGTTTTTCCTTTTTCTTTTCACTACAGGTGCAGTACATTTACCGCCTGATGGATGTGCTTTCTACCTTTTCCATCTCGCCGCTCTTTCTCTTGCGTGCTGCTGTGCGTGTAATCTTGACGGTGACAGCGCTGTCCTCCCCCTGGCGCCGCAGAGCCATGCGGTTCGGCTGCAGAGGGCTGAAGGAGATCTCCAGTTCTGGACGAGGAAAGCGGCTTGTTTTGCCGTTCTCCGTGGAAATCTCTGAGGACTCGAGGACTGACGGAAAGCCAGTTGAGCTCTGTGGGAACACAAGCCAAAGGCTGCATTACTGCCACTCACCAAGAAACACATAGAAGCCAGGAGATGATGGCAACCTGTGTTACTAATCACTTCATTGCATAATTATGTCTCTAGACCTCATAATAAAGTTTTTTAGAGCAGTTTATCATTTGTTGCATTTTGTTCCTGCCTGAAAACGTAAGAATTATGGAGATATGTATTCTTTTTATTCCATTAAGCTTACCTGACTGCTGACTGAAGCTCTGTTACTGGTCCTTTCTGGTCTCATGTTAACACTTTCATCCTTGGATTTCTCAGCAAACACATTGTTTTTAGTCTGTTGTAAGACAAAAGAAAACAGAACAGGTTCACGAATGTTTGCAGAACTTCATAGTTTTAATTTTCTGTTTGAAACAAGTTCAAAGTCTAAAGCGTTACAGATTTTGAAACCTGGCCAAACAATGCTCTATCATTTTCAAATTACACTGACAAATTATAGTTTAGGATTAATAAAAAAAGCTTTCTTTGCTAGACTTATACTTGTTCAGAAGACCAGCCCTCCCATGTTTGATGGTGATGTCACTTACAGGTCGGCACACAAACGTTTGCTCAAAAGCTCAACGTCTTCCATCGATTAATGAGAGTTTTAACTGGAGCATTAAAACTCTCAACTCCACTTTTTACTCCTCTTTTAACTTATCATTATTACACAACCACTGCAAAATTAACTGTTTAATGTTATAAAAAAAAAACTTCCTAGTCTGTTTTTGTTTAACTGACCTGTGTAACCAAACCGTCCTGTTTAGCTGCTGAGGCCTCAAGTGCTTCCTTCAGCTGCTGAATCTCTGCCTCCTTCTCAGCCAGAGCAGCCTGCAGTCTGGTCACACTGGCACCAACACCTCCATCATTAACCTGACACACAAAGTTATTAGACACTGATTAGCTTCTAATTTAAGCTTCTATTCAAAACATTACAAATAAATAAATAAATATATCAGTTAATATTTTGTTTCACTGAATTCTCATAGTGCGTTACATTCTGGTGTGGAACTTGTTACATTTATTAGATTAGATGCAACATATGTAAGTTGTTTCACAATGACATTTAATCAGGACTTTATCAGACATCAGTTACACTCATAATCAGAACTAGAACATTTCTGAGGAACGTTGAATGGTGCTGCTTGAAACTTTAATTACAAATAGAAATTTAGCAAAGCTCTAAGCAGACGTTAAAACAGCTGCAAGTAGCTCAGAGTCACCTTAATAACCACACACATGTGGCTCTTCCTCCTTAAAAGCAAACTTAAGACAGGCAGACAGAAATGCAGAGTAGAAAGTCATTCTCAAACAAATTAGTCACCGAGTGAAAATAAGTCATTCTTGAACAGATCTGAGATGGATCCATCATTTATGTATTTAAAGTAAAGATGTTTTGAAACAAACGTGCAACAAGAGTTAGCATGTTAGCTGGTAAAATATAAGGAGTCTACTACAGGCTAGCTGTGAAGGCTAACAACTCTGCTAATTACCTAACCTGGTCAGGCTTTTAATGTTAATAAAGAGCAGAATATTATTTTTTTCACAGCTTATTTTAGTTGCACAAATAAAAACCCAGCTTTACGTTTCATTGATCCCAATCAATATGTTTAAAACAGGTCCTTGTATTTAAGTGAAGCAAAACGTTCATCTCCATGTCCATGAAGGCTGATACACGATGAGCTCTCCACAGTTTCTGGTTTGCTGCCAACAGACAATCTGTTTCTGCATATTAAGGTTCTACTCACTTAGTAAAAAAGGTCTAAACAGAAATTAAGTGAGGAAGAAATTTGTTCTTGTAAAACTGCTTTAAAAAAGGTCAAATAATTAACTTATTAGTATATTTTATTAATCCAAGACAATAGATTGTTCAATCTATTGTAAATTAAAACTTTTTTTAGACTGAATGTTATATATAAATACAGATGCTAACTGATCAGCTTGAACACATTTTTAGTCTCCTTAACTTGATCTGAACTGGACCTGAAGCAACACGTGACATGGAGACACACAAGACGTGTCACTGATTTTATAAACAGACAGTTCTGACAGCTGACATGTAAAATATGTGGTTCTCAGATTTGTCTCAACTTTTATGCAACACTGACCTCTCGTGGTGGCTGGGAGTTTTGTACCCGCAGCTCTTGGATGAGTTTATCTTTCTCTGCTTGGTTGAAAAGCAGCTTTTTTAGCTGGACTTCTAAAGATGAAACCAGAGTGTCTCTCTCCTTCCTCCAATTCTCCATGGTCTTCTCCTTCTCTACAAGCTGAGACTCCTGAAAAAAGAAAGACAGAAATCTTAGAAAATATATTTATAATAATGTATCTAAATTTAAAATAAATTTAGATAAGATAGGAAATGTCAATGTTTTTCCCACTCATCAGGCAGCATTATTATTATTATTTCTACTTCTAATACTGCAGTATTTTTGTTTATTTTTATTTAGTTCAACAAATATTCAGAATATTTTCATATTTATGCCATAAGACATGATTTTTATTTGTCATTATGTTTCTAGAACATAACAAAATTGTCATGTTGCCCTCAATAAGTAAATATATAAATAAAATAATAAAACTTATATTTGTTGTGATCTCATTTTGACCTCAAGGTGCAGCAAATGGATGTGAGTATGACTGCAGGGGGTAGAGGGGATGGAAGGTGGACAGATGGATTTAACAGCTCTTGGGAAGAAGCTGTTCCTTAGTCGAGTGGTTGTGGTCGGGTCTAAAAAAGCTTTTTGAAGATGTTTTTGATAAAACAATTGACTGACTGTGCATCTGTTTAATCAGATGGCATATGTTATTTACCTCTGTGTGTAACCATGTTAATATTTTTGTAGTACAAATACAGTACATGGTTTTCTTATATTTTATCAAATTTTGAACATTTTTGTTTCGGGCAGGTACCATTTTTCATCCCCTGCCCTATCGGGCAGGTAAAAACAAATCTGGTCGAACCCTGCTGCGATGAAAGGCCAGTCGTGTTGCTGCTGATCCCACCCACCCAGGACATAAACTGTTTGTACCACTGCCATCTGGGAAACGATACAAAGACACATTGAAGTTGAGAATCCCAGGTCGTGGAGCTTCACTATCAGCTTCTCTGAGATGACTGTATTAAATGCTGAACTGAAGTTGACAAATAACGTCCTAACATAAGTGTCAGGATGCTGCAGGTGTGTAAGGGTTGTGTGTAGTGCTATGGAGACAACATCCTCTGTGGACCAGTTCTTCCTATAGGCGAACTGAAACTTGTCCAGGCCAGCAGGGAGGCTATCCTTGATGCATTTCAGAATAATCCTCTCAAAGCATTTCATAATGACCGGGGTTAGTGTGACTGGGCGGTTTGGGCGGTAGCCATCGCATGAGCACTAAATTTTCACTAATACTACCCACTTTCAGTAGGATCCTCTTCTTGTAAGAGGATGTTGGGTCACAGTTCTGGTTCTGTTTGACTATTCCTTTTAAACACTAAGTGGTTTTTGGGGGTATGTGGCACTTTTAACTTCTATGAGCTAATATTGGATTAATAACACTTCTGTCATTTCAGAGTGAGAAGAGCAATTATATTTATCAAATAAAGACATTTTGTTTTCCACATCTCCCCACATTTGCTCGTTTTGTTAGCACCTTAAGTCAGGTTTAAGTCATTATTAACCTTTTTTTAACCAGACAAATCCCATTGAGATCACAGATCATTTTGGTAAAGGCGTGGTCCTGAAGCAACATTAGAGATTAGATTAGAGAGACCTTTATTGTCATTGTACAGAGCACAATGAAATTACAATTCAGAACAGGCATGATTTTAGATTTATAATTGAATCTACATATTTCAAATGAAGCTAGGCAGCTTTGACTCTGTTTTTAACAAAATATTTATCATCAAATGAAGTTTTAGACCTGAACAAGTTTGCTGTCAGAGGAGAGCACCAGTGCTGGTGTCAAAATACAGCTTCAAGTACTTTTGAAAAATGTTGGAAGTGCCAACAATGGCTGACTATTTTAGGAAGAAATCTGTTAAACACATTTTTTGAACAAGTTCAGAACTCAAGCACTGCATGATCTACAACTTACAACAGAAAACTGAAAACCATCAGAAATGTTTTGAGAGATTTTAGAAACACTTTCTTAAATGCTGTTTGCCAGCTAGTAACAGTCCAGTGCGATACTATTTTTACCCTGATGAGTCACCAGCAGCAGCTTTAATATTTTTGTTTAAATCTTGGTTCTCTACACTTTTTATAGAGTTTTAGATCAAAACATCAGCATTTTGTCAGATTTGCTTATTAAATTAGGCAGCTCCACTTTTGGGTTTTAAAGAATAAAAAGTTGATTCATGTTGGAGATTCAGGCAGCAGCTGCTTTAGACATATTCTTGTTTTACGTTCTTATTCAGATCTTCCTACCAAGTTGCTCTGCTGACGAGTGCAGCGTTCTCGGTCTTCTGCAAACTTTCTCATTTCCTGATTTCTCTTCTCCTCCGCCTCTTTAGCTTGACCAATCAGGGACAGCCTCTCCTCCAGCCACTTCCTGCGCTCAGCCTGGTGTTTCTCTGTTAACATCTGCAGAAAACAAAGATATATATATA